GACCAATCCGGAGAAATGCCTATCCGATGAAACTCTCGTCATCCGTCTTGATGAGATTGAAGTAAACGAGAATCCTCATTTCGTAGAGGAACCTGTTGAAATCATGGACAGGGAAATTAAAAGAACAAAGCAAAGTCAAATACCAATAGTAAAGGTCCACTAGAACGCCAAGCGAGGACCCAAATTCACTTGGGAACATGAGAAATCAGATGAAACGGAATTACCCACAACTTTTCCCTAGGGCTACCAACAACCCGTTCAAGATACAAATTTCGGGACGAAATTCCCTCTAACAGGGGGATGATGTGACAACCCGAAAAATTTGTATCAAGCAACGAAATTCCCTCTAACAGGGGGATGATGTGACAACCCGAAAAATTTGTATCAAGTAAGGTCTAAATTGTAACCATGTGCAAGTGAATTCACAACGTAACCTTGTTGCAATAAACTCTTGAAATCCATAAGGGCATTAGTTGTATAGGTATGTATATATATATATATATATATATATATATATACCTTGGAATTCATATTTATAACAAGCTCTGAAAAGCAAACAAACTATAACAAGTCAAGACAAATCAAATAGTTGAAACATAAATCATGAACTAATACCTTGCCTTAAAATCTTAAGCATAAGACTCCACCCATTTAATGATTAGGAAACACCAAGACCAAAATCACAATGTATAGGAAACACTAGGACCGAAATCAACACCATACAAGCCCACTAAGGCCAAAAACACATGCTAGGATCCATTTAGGGCTGAAAACAACACTTAGTGGGAGTGTAGGACCGAAATCACCAAGGGAACAAGGTGATTACGGTCATGTATGGCCGAAAACACCCACTTGATTCCTTTTCCTAAGTGACTTCAGTTTAAGGAAGGAAAATATAAGGTTTGACTTTATGAAATGATATTTTAATCCTTTTCCAATGCAAAGTAATACCCATCAAACTTCCAAGCATTTATCCAGCATGTATCTATGCCAATATCTAACAGTTAACTAGGCAAAACTTCACTTCACCTTTTCCCCCTTTAAACACGGCAGGAAGCATCCACAAATCCCACCATTTTTCCATCCTACTCTCCATAAATTTCCCTTTTCTCCCAAGAAACAATTCTAGGCTTCAAAAGAGTTCAAATCTTCCAAGTAGTTGTTCTTAGATTTTGGTAAGTTTATCTCACTAATCTAGTATTTTCCACATAAATATATTAGTTTCATTATGTTTACACATATTGTTATGTGTTAAAAACATTTAGGATAATAATATATCTAAGGAAGTTCATCTAACAATTCAAGAGTTTAGGCTTGGGAACCTTCACACCATCTTCTCAAATAACCCACAAAATCTACTCAATGTGAGTTCATACCCCCACATTTTCAAGATTTTTCATATTTTTAGGGGAGGGGGATCAAATAAAACTTTGTTCATCACACAAATACTTACATGTTTTCATCTTTATGTTAAAAATAAGATATTATTTGCATAAGATATGATTATCACTACTTTTTATACAATATTTGTGAAGTATTAGTTTTGATATGCAAAGTTAACAAAACATAACTCATTATATGCTACAAATATCATAAGGAAAATTTTGGTTTGGAAAACTACAAGGTTTTGGAAACTTTTACTAAAATATAGCTTTTCTAGCAAAAATCATTACATTATACTCATTTACTATTTTGGTGGGTTACAACCCAAAAATATCATGTTTTGATTTCATATTTTGACATTAGACAAGATTACAACTTTATATTTTTATAAAAGAATATATAAATAGTCTCAACAAACATACAAAATAAACTATAATTGGTATAGTTTGGGAGTCACAAAATCACACTTTCATTTTAGAAGAACCATATAATTTTCAAAGGTATAATTATTTCATTTTAATAGAAAAATGAGCCATAGTTCATGTAAATCTGTTGATGCTCTTGTGAGACATTTTCTTCACCGTACCTACCTAGCATACAGCTTAAGTCCTGTATTATAACCAGAGTCTCCTTGAGGGAGAGCGAGATATTTGTGTATAGATCTATACGGGATTGACAACCCCACACATTAGTTATTAGCTACAGTTAGACCGGCAAGTCTAGGATGACAAAAGTCTACCAGCTCCGACGCCTGAAGAACGTCATTCGAGCATATCAATCATATTAAGAATCGCTATAATAACTTACATATGGATTAACAAAACAAATTGGTTTACGGGTAACTTACACTTCATTAGTTTTATAAAAGAAATGAAACTACATACTATTTTCAGTACCGCATTACTTACATTTTGGTCTTAGGGTTTAAGACTACAGTTCATATTTAAGAAAATATTGGATTTTCTGGAAACATACATTATCATTTTACAAGGAAAAGATACAAAGGATAAACACACACTTACAGTTCATATTAAAGAAAATATCGGATTTTCTCGAAGTATACAAAAATCATTTTTACACGAAACCGTTACAAATCCTTCTCATACAAAATGCTTATGAACTCACCAACTTAATTGTTGACACTTTTCAAAATCACTTGTATTCTCAGGAAATCAATAAACAAGTATTCAAACCATTTTGAGGGTCGGCGTCGCTGTTGCATGTTTTCTACTTTTCAGTTATTTTTATTTAACTTTTGAGCAAACAAAGTTTGTAAACAATGTAAACTTGAATTCCCAATGTATGAATGTTTGTGTTGTTGTGATTCATTTATATTCAATTGTTATGATACTTTGCAATGTCATCATCCACCCTCAAACGTTTCTACCGTTCCAGTTTGGGGGTGTGACAATAGTTGTCCTTCGGGCATGCCATTATTAAGGTCAGTGAAATCGACACACGTTCGCATTGTACCACCCACCTTCTTTACCAGCACCAAGTTTTCAATCCACTTCGGGAATTATGTGGATCACATGACTCCTGTTTCCACCAATGCTTTAACTTCCCCGTTGACCATTTTTTTCTTTCTTTAGCCATGATGTGTTTTTTCTGCTTGATTGGAGTGTATGTTGGGTTAATGTTTAACCGATGTTCTATCTAGGATCAAGGAATCCCCATCATGTCTTCAGGTTTCCATGTAAAATCATCTACATTCTTCTTTAACAGACTTATCAATCCTCCTCATAATAGCTCTGGGAGTTCTAAACCTACTTTGATTCTTTGATCCTCATCTTTTTCATTGATGGTTATCTCTTTTGCGTCTAGCGAGGAACTTCGTTTTTCGAAGATTGGCTCTGTTGGGTTAGGCTGAATCGCATGGCTTCATTCTGGTGGTCCGAACACCGTGCTTTGGATTATTATGATACCTTCATCGGTAGGGATTTTGAGTAGTCCATGCACCGTAGATGGTACTGTTTGCAATTTCCATAGACCTGTTCTTCCCAGCAACATATTGTAGGGGGGTGCTCGTATTATAAGAAACTCTGTTAAGATAGTTTTCTTAATATTACCTCTGTGATCTTCCACAATAAAATTTAAAAATATCCATCCCATCGGTCGTACTGATTTTTCAACGAAATCCTACCATGGCTAATGTAGCTAGGCTAACGTACTTTTGGACTTCGAGTGGTAGACCTTTCAGGCAGTGCTCATATATGATGTTAATAGAAATTTTGTTATCCACATAGATCATTAATATCAATGTTCTTCCCATTGTTGCTATGATTATTAACTGTTCTGTCCCCTAATGATCAAAGGGTATTGGGTCATGGTGGTTGAAGTCGATGTTAACTATCTTCCGTTTTTTATTGGATTGGCATCAAGTCCTCCCCCTCATTGTATCTTAGCGATCTCAGCATCGTAATTTCTTACTTCTTCATTCTTGGAAGTTCCTTCTCCCCCCACCTTAAGCGACCGGCCTCTATCCTTTTCTCTCTTGAGGCTTTTGCAATCCTCCGTATCATGGCCCAAATTTTCATGATATTCGCAATATATGTTGGGATCTCGTGGGTATTTACTATATTTATCAATATTTCCTTTATTCGGACTTCTAAGGGTGTATGCTTCATATGCTTCATGTCGGTATGGTTGAAAGCGGTCATGTTGTTTTGCTCTTGCCTTATGAGTGAACCTTCTATTTTGACCAAGATGGGAATGATGATCGTTTGCCCCCTGGTACTATGTAGGTCGCTCCCCTCGCTTTCCTCCTCTAGCAATTTTTTCCCCTCAATTCTTTCTTTTTCTAGTTTTTGCCTCTTTCCTTAGGAATTGATTAATTTTACGTATCATCTCCTCTGTGCTTACACAATCTCTCATTACCAGCTTACGGAATAGGTCTCCCTATAAAAGACCATAGGTTAACACAGCTATAATCATGGATCATCTCTCGTTGGCATCCTTCAGCTGATTTCGTTGAATCTTTTGAAATAGACCTTGTTAGACTCCCCTACTCTTTTTCGGTAGGCGAATATTTCATGTGTCTGCTGTTGGAACCTTCTCTATTGAATGAAACTATTGAAAAACTTTTGACACGGTTCCTTGAAACTTCCTAATACTTTTGGGTGGTAAACTTGCTAACCAGTATCGGACAGATCCATCTAAGGTTCCTACAAAGTATAGACTTCATAGTTTTGGGTCCATCGGGATCATCTTAATGGCTCATTGAAAGTTCAAAACATGATCGTCAGGATCTCACGTTCCATCGTACATTGGGACTCTAGGTCCTTTCAACCATTTTGGGATGGGAGTCTTGTTGATCTCATTAAGGTGATCGGAAATTGAGACCCTGAAACACATGGTTGTATTGTTTTGCCTTCGCTACTTCTGGCAACATTCTTTTGTTTTGAGAATCTCTTTTTGCTTTCTCCTGACGTGACAGACAGAGAGAGAGAGAGAGAGAGAGAGAGAAATCTTGAGCTTACTTCCTTTTTATTTCTTTCTTTCTTACTCGCTTGTTCTTCGCTTCTCTTAGTTCTTCTTCCTGTTTCCTCTGATTCCTTTGTTTGGCTAGTGTGCACCGAGACTCGACCCCATTCCTTTTCTTTTTGTATTCTTTCTTTCTATACCTTATGACTACTTCTTTCCACTTGTCGTTTTTTCATAGCTTTGAATCTTTTGAAAGCTTCAAACTCCTCCATTTCTCTTTCTTCTTTTTTCGAACATTCTTTACACCCTTGCCCCTCTTTTAGGACTTTCGCTGTTGTGTTTCTGTGTGCCATCACCGTCGTGATTTGTGGTGTTTCCTCAAAGTTCTGCATTCTTGTGAGGGGACTCGCATTGGCAAACCGGGTTTCCTTCGTTGGATATTTGTTGCGGAGTCCCACAGATGGCGCCACCTGATGTGCCCCGAGTTCAGTCTCCATATCACTGAGCCAGACGACTCCGTTTAGAAATGAACAACCTGGAAACAATCACAAATTCATAAGCTAGTTGTCTAGGAGAAGATCCCGGGCCAACGCTCTGATGGTAAAGTTAGTGAAGATTTGGAGAGAATCTTTTTGTGAATGTTCTTAATCGAGATGAATGAGCGATTTATAGCGTACCTGGCAACGGTGGATCGAATTACCTTTTTATAGCCGAAGAAGAAATGTCTCAACCTTCCTATATGTCGAATTGGTCTACTATCTTATCGCATTTATGGTCATACACCTGAGGGTAGAGCAAGAAAGGCTTGGAAACCATTGTACAATTGTTCCTTGTAAGTATAAGGTTCTATCAATCATCTTTCTACATACAACTTGTACTTCTTCGAGTTTCCATGTTCTTTATGCACTGTGGTGACATCAAGTTGGACTTTGTTTGTTTTTTCACGATGTTCGGTGCTTTTAGGTATAGTTCGGTGCTTGGACGTGGTTCGTCACTTCCACTTGGTCTGGTCCATAGTGTAGTTCGATGGTATTTGAAATTCAGACTTCCTGAGGGTGTAGGCATAGCGATTAACCCCTATACCCTATTAATTACAAACTTCCAAACCAAGACATCATGTGATTTGTAGTTCTTGAAGATTTAGTTATGAATTGTACAAAATGACTAATATGATCAGCAGGGACTGGTCCGAGTCTGCATTGGATGTAAAATCTACATATTTGTAGATAAAACCAGATGAAAACTCTTCGAATGATGAAAGTAGATATACATACCTTTACAAGGACATAAATTTCATATAATTTAGACACCCCATTGATTTTATATGATTTTAGAAATATAAAGGACAGATTCATGAAATCACAATATCATCACGTTTTAGTCCCCATTCTATCCCACTTATTAAGCACGTAACTATTAAGTTCATATCTATCAATTCCAGCAAGATATAATTTCTAATCATCCATATTTGTAGGTGTAATAAGAACATCTTCATGAATTAATATCATGACTAAAAATCAACATATAAATCACACTTATTCACTTAATGTTCATTAGATGGGATTCATGGGTTTGGTCTTCAATCCAAACACATTATGTACTTAATACCTACTGAAAAGAGATGGAAAATGCAACATCTTTCAACCACCATGAAATGGTGGTGACATAGTGGTGTAGTAATGGTCCTAGTGACTTCATGTTTATGATAGGGTGGTTTTCTAGCAGCTTCCACCAACGTTGATGGTGGTGGTTAGTGGCGGTATATGTTATGTTTTCAAGATAGAAGAAAGAATAAAAAACTTAAAGAATAAGATAATTATATCAATCTTAAAGTGGTCAAACTCTACCGCAACCTTCCCCCCCCCCCCCCTTCTCTTCTCCAGTGGCATTTTTCGGTGACCTCCGGTAGGATTTCAGTGGCTTCTCTTCATCTCTCTCTCAACTGCTTTATAAATCGACCACCTTTCACCCTTTTCTCCGTTAAAGTCGATGGTGCACTCATAGAGTGTGATTGGTTTTGGCCTGATGCGTAAAAGAGTGTACTACCAATTGTCTAATGGTCAATCGGATTTATCCCCTAAGCCCCCATAACTTTCCGTTTTGACAAAAACAACCCATAAAATCAAAAGTCCTAACAAATTAACTTCCTAATTTTGACTCTCTTAATCCCTTGCTAAAAATGGACTCTTTTTATGTTAAGTAATTACTTTTAAATATTTTATAATAATATTTATTTTGTTGTTATTATTATTATTTCTTTATTTAATATTAATTATTATGAATCACTTTAAATTTTTATAATATATTTATTTATTTAACTCATTTGTCTTATCTTAAAATTTTATTTTTAATTAGTAATTGTTCATATTATTTATTAAACTTTTTTTTTCTAAATAATCAAACACAAAAAAGAAAAAAAAAAGGTGTTAAAATATATATCTACTTTTTTTAACAGCAGTTTGACTGGTTATATTTTAATGTTAATATTCCAATTCTTGTTAGCACCAAGGATTGAACCCTGACATCCTCATTCTCTCGTACCAAGAGGTATTTCTCTACCAAGAGGGTTATTCCCAATCGACTTATTTAGTAATCTATAAAAAAAACACAAATAACTTATGTGATATAATGGGCTAATAATGATAATAAATAATCAATAAACAAATCAATAATAACAAGTTATAAAAATACGTTCTAATTGGGTCAGAGATTCTTTTATAAAGGTTTCAAAAAGTACTTTGGCACCAACTGTCCAATTACACTAATTAGGGGTCCAAAATGGCTTTATTCATTATTATTTTTCTTAAAAAAAAAAAAGCCAACACATACAATTTAATCTATACTTAAATTTATATTTTTTTCATCAGGAGTCTTAAATAATTTTGAATCTTTAAAATCACTATATTTAGAAGCTCGCTATAGCTAAATCCACGACAATCGCGACCTCCATTTTCCACATCTATAACTTGGCCAATTTCATCAAACAAGCAAAGAAATACATATAAAATGGAGAACTTTTAATTATATATATATATATATATATATATATATATATATATATATATATATATATATATATATATATATATATGGAAGAAGTGCCATTGATAAACTTCCAACAATAGAACGCGACTAAACCTACCAATATATTCTACGTATCTCAAGCAATTAACTCATTATCCAAGCAATCTCGTAACTTTAGCTTGGTGACCTCCATGACATTGCTCTCGACCACGTCACAGCATTCGGTTTTTCCATTCTACATCAAATGAAACAAAATTCGATAATCAATCAACACAATGAAATAAGGGTTAAAGTAAAAAAGCAATGTAATTTATCAATACTAAGTACATGAAAATTTTACCACAAACACTTGAGTCATGCATAATTAAGCTTTATATATATATATATATATATATATATATATATATATATATATATATATATATATATATATATATATATATATATATATATATATATATATATATATAGTGGAGAACAAGGTGGTCGGAATTGAATTTTAAATATGTAACCGGTGATTTCCTAACATTCAAAATATAAATTGATATTAAAATTAACTCGCCTGCTTGGGTTTTTTCATCGGTGACACAACTTCAATTCTAGAGATCAAATCTGCAGAATGGTTTCCAGCGAACTCACAAGTCGACAACCCACGTGAAGCCATGCGCACATAATTTGTTAGAACTTCACTTTCATTGATAGTTTTTATGGATTCAAATGTAAACACATGAGGAGTTGCACATGGATCGTTTGAGAGTACTGGTCTTGTGTTGAAGATGAATAAAGGTGGCTGAGAGTCCAAGAACCATGGCTTGAATGTCTCAAAGGGGAACTTTAGGATGCTACGAGGAATGACTTTCTCATAAATCTGAACCGAATAGCCCCATGAGCATGAAAAAGACCAAGTTAATCGTCTATCATAACATATAGTTTGTTGCACCAAACGAGATTGGTCAATGTCTGCAGCTTTCATGAGGTGTTTTGCAGATTCAAAACGGTCCATAGATTGAAAGATCGGGTCAAGGTGGTCTAAATGATGGAGGGAAAGCAATGGAGTTTGTGGGTGTGAAGATAAAAATCCAGATACATCCCCATGTAGATCCATCTACAAAAAAAAATTATAAATGAAAATTTAAATAGTAAACTACTTTCTTAATTGTTAATTCAAAGTATTTTGAACGGATTTAAGCACTCACTTTTCATTTTTGTTCCATTGTTATGATATTTTCAGGTTTTTAGCAAGGAAAGCAGTTAATCATGGAAAAAAGTTGAGACAATTTTGGTTACTAATATTAGTTGTGTAATTAAGCAATCAAAACAATAAGTATTTTGGGTAGAGACCCCGTACATGTATAAAGGGTATGTATCTATATTTCAATAAGACATGTGACCGTTATATATTTCTCTATTACAAATATATTCAAAATGATGAATTTTTGAAACATGAACAAAAAAGTCTTACTGTCATGAAAAATTTATTCAAAGTGGTGATAATAAACTTTTAGTTATATTTTTCTATCAGAATCAAGTAATAATTGATAACATGACCAATGTTTAGATGATATGGACTAGAATACGTATAAGTGTATTGTTGTGATATTAGTATTGTTAGTGATGTTTCTTTTGGTTATTATACATGACATTTTCCAAAACGTTTCACAATAACGAAATAAAATTGAAACTTGAGTGTTTAAAACTCCTAAAAAAAAATTCCATTGCCCTATATGAAACAACAATTAATGAAAGTTGGTTACTATTTTGTAAAATTGTCCAAACTTTTAACCAATAGTAATCTGTTTGTCTTAAAAATTAATCACGATCACTTAACAAAATTTAGACATTAGTACTTAAACCTGTTTTGTAAAATTGTATACCCTTTTTTATTTAAACCGATGTTTGATGAGTAATACCTGATGAAGGCCACGATGAATAGTTAGTGAAACTCCGAAATCATTAATACAAGTCATCAATGTTTGATCGGCAAACCTCAAATACGGGTACCTTCCAAGACAATCTTCAAGATTTTTTTGCACCATTTCCGCCAATGGATAACTCAATATGACTCCGGCTCCACCAAATCCCATGTCATACGAAAATATTTGATTTGATGCTATACTCTCCGAGTTATCACCAATGTATATGTACTTTGTATGATCATATTTTGACAATTCATCCACCAAATTGTCAACAAAAAAGATCGAGTCATCATCTCCCATGATATACCATCGTACCCCTTCCCTCTCTTCCCTAAAAACCTCAATCAACGCATGCACCATTCGCACCATGAATGGTGAAAGATGTTTTGTTTCCTCCAATAACTTTGTATTATCATCAGAAATACGAAAAGGAGGGGAGGCATGCGACCATGGCAAGAGATCATCTGTGGGAGCTGTGTCAAGGTAGAGGTAGCCACGTGTGATGTTTGGACGCCACCATGACTCAATGTAGGATTTTCGATAGTGCCATGCATTTGTAGACCCCAAAATTGCAAAAACAAGGTTGGAAATGTTTGTTGTGTGATAAGATGGCAATGAAGATTGATGTGTTGTCATGTGAATGATGTCAGTCTGTAGGCATTTAGGATGGTTCGAAAATGAGAAAACAATGATGAAGATTAGAATCGATGTTGAAATGGCGAGTGTTGTGCAAATTATGGTTGATGAGGTTTTGAGAAGAGAAGAAGCCATTGCTAAAAGGCAAAATGATATTGTTGAATACTTGAATAAGTATGGAAGGGTTTAAGGTATTAAAAGTACGGAAATGTACTTCTTTTTAAAATGGGTTTTCTAGGATTAATACGCTAAATGGATTTTTCTATCTATGTACGAAAACGACTTTTATACACAATTAAAATGAATTGGTGGGACGTTGTTCATATATCTCACAATGAGTTACATAAATCGGCTATTTTTTTTAGCATATTTAAGATTTGTTTTCACCCATTAATTATAATATTTTGCTAAGAGATATACGAGGTCTATACTTTTGCTTCTTTCTTAAGCCTTTGAGTAAACGTCACATGTTTTGGGTATTTGTCTTTTACAAACTAACCATTTGGGAGCAAATCCATTGTACGCAATCAAGCTATCTCCGCTCCATAATAAAATTAAATTAAATTAAAAAAATATTTAAAAAAAAAAAGTAATTGAAAATTATTTAGACTACATTCTCAACCATTAAGATTAGTTATATCTCAAAAAACTTTTCATATTAAAAAAAAAATCAAAAAACATCATTTTTTACTAAAATATAGTTTTTTAGTAGAGTGTAACTGTTTTCTACCTTCCAACAACATTTGTTATTAATATGAGGAGAGCTGACAATATATGGATTTGGGTTTAAGTCTAGGTTGAGTTTCGATTCAACTTATTTATTAATTGGTTTGAATAGTTCAACCAATCTCACACAGTTTATGGATTGATATTTCTAACTCAACTCAATCTTAAGTAAATAGATTGTCACTAAGTTGTCATCTTTATATATTTCTCAACTCTGTCTTTTAAATAAATTTGTTAAATCTAAATTGACTTATTTTATTTACCTTTTTTTTAAAAAAAGATAAATAAAATAACTAAGTATTACACCATTTAAATTAATTCGAGACTAAAAATAAAATTTCAAAATATGACAAAAGAATATTCACAATTTATAAATACAAATAAATTATTCAGATAACGTTAGAAATATTTAATTTCGAAATGATTTTGAAAAGTAGCTAATATTGTCGGTATCAAAAAATATATATATGAGAATTAGGATAGCATTTTTCTAAAACATATATAATAATACAAAAGTATAATTTTTTATTGATACATGATAATATTTGATTGTTGAATTATATATATATATATATATATATATATATATATATATATATATATATATATATATATATGGTTAGGTTCATGTGAGACGGCCTAATTTTGTAAGACCGTGAGACGCAATACTAGCCACTCATTTAGTAGATAAAAAAAACATTTTTAAAATGCAAAATAATTGAAAATTTTCGAAAAAAAAATTTCAAATATTATTTGTGGTTTCTACTTTTCTCTTTGGTTTATTGATTGTATTTTGGTTTTTTGTTTTTAATTTATTTATAATGGTTTCTTCCTCAATAATTTTGTTAAATTTAACAAAAACACATAATTTTCTAAAATATAATACAATATAATCCCAACACGTGCTTATGACTTTAATTATTAATAGAAACTATAAATACATAATAACTATTTATAATTTTTAGTAAACTTAATATATTAAAGATTAAATAAAACCAGTAAATAGACTGTGCAATGTATAGGTCGGATATTTTTTGAAAGCAAGTTTCCTAGAATTTACAACATTATTATCAGTGTGTGGAATAAAATAAGAAGGTATAGCTTGTCCTATTATCATGTTTTCAAACTAAAATTTCATCTTTGATCCAGGTGGCATGGTAGTTGTTTCATTCGATTGTCCTAACCAAGTTTGTCTTTATCGGTCTGTGTCTATTGATGTTTGTTTCACCTTCAAACAAAAGACCTGAAACATGATGAAATACCAATTTTAAGACAACTACATTAGCATAAAAATAGCCATCTGGAAGGAAACAAAATAGAAAAAAATAAAAATTAGGCTAATTACCAAAAAAAATGAGCAAATGTTATAATTGATACATTGTTGTAGTAGGAAGAAAAAAAAGAACAAATGAATGAAAGTAGGTTGCTATTTTTTGAAGTGAAATATAATAAGCTAACCCGCATCCATAGGGGAACTGAGATAAGGAGGTACATATGGCCTCCTAAATCCTCTGTGGCCCATGTAAGCATTGAAACGCCTCCCACAAAAGCTCTTCATTCTAGGGATATTTGTCCTTTTAGCCATCACATGTAATACAAATTTTCACAAAGCCATGTCATAAAATAGCTACGTACTTTTCGTTGTCCTTTTTTCTAAATTAATATTCAAAATCAAGGGCTAAATGAATCATACTTTTCTAGTATCAAGGGATTGAATGAAAGCTCATGAAATTGGTATTCACCTAACAAAGTATCAGTGTTTTTTAGGTTTAAGGTAGAGGTATTTTGGTCATTTTGACTTTTTTATGAAAGTGGTGATTTTAACAAAATAGATAGGGTAGTGGATGTGTGAAAAGTTTGTTTAATTAACCCTTTTATAAATATGGAGAACATAGATAACTTTCATATTTATTTTTAAAAAATGATATCAGAAAATGGTTTTGAATTAGTTTTCTTCTATATAAACCTTGGCAAAATGCAGATGCTAACAGAAAAGTAGTAATTTTTACTTTTCTATTTTTTGACAGATGTACCCTTCTCAATTATCTACTATGATGGTACGACTATTTTTATTAAATAAACAAACCAAAACTTCAGTATTCAATATTTATTGATAGTGTGACATCCCCAATTGTCACGATCAGAAAAGACCTTTTTATTTATGCTTATTTTTAAAAACAAAGTATTCTTTATATAAGCATTTCCGAAGAAATGTATTGATTCTTAAAACTTGGGATGTCGTAACTAATACAAGAAACATAAACATAAACGTAATCATTACTGGCCTTACAATATCTAATGGCCTACATTTCCTTTAATCTCTCATCAGATCCAAACATCAAATACATGTGTATCGATACCTATGATATAAAGAAACTGAATAGGTCGGATTTGGAAACCTGGTGAGTACATATGTTTAATTATCATACAATTAACTCGGTTACCCATCCCTATTTTCTTCTATTTTTATTCTTAAGGATCTATCTTAAGGATCATCAAAATCATCGTTGCTGACAGTACTGTTTCAGGGATTTCTCCACAATACATATCAGTAGGTTTTCTTTTATATGCATTCCTAAGGATCATCAAAATCACCATTGATGATAGTATTGTTTCAGGGATTTCTCCGCAATACATGTCAATAGGAAGTAGAGTACATCAAACGGACACATAATCCATCGCTTAAAGGTTATAAACCTGACAGCGTGCCACAGGACTATCATCAATAGTCCAGTGGTCGTCATTTATACTCTGTTAGATGACTACATCGCTTAGTACAGTAGTACTAGTAAGTCAAGGCCTATATTATTGTTTTCATCTCTCATTATCCATCTCCCTCATTATTCTATTCATCCCTCATTACCCATTACTACCCAATATATTTATAGACGTAAAAATGCATACATGTTAAATCATATAAAAATCATCTTATATTATTTCATATAACACATAACATTCTTGCACATAAGCATGTATGGAATTTAATTATCTGAATACTTCATATATATATGTAAGATGAAAGTAAATATGCACTCACCTGATAAAAGTAGGTGATTCGAGGTTAGGGCAGCGCTTATCCTTAACATTTTGTCCTTTCAAAAGACCTAGATGTATACAGCACTAACTCTTAGTCAATTTTTCATATTCATTGTGACTATAATAAGGATAGTTACAAGGTGGGATCATATCAGAGGTAGGGTCTGTTTGGTACTAAGGATAGTCTAGATTCCTCAATAATCCCAATGTCTACATCAAGATCTATCAAGTAAGGAATAACAAGGTGGGATCATATCAGAGGTATGGTCTGTTTGGTATACAAAGTATCCTGTTTGGAAATCCCACTTTAAACGCCTCACTAAATCCAGCCTAGACATCACTCCCGTAAGTAGATCAATTAGTATAATGACTTGGAATCACTGATATATCTTATTTAGAAATGCATAACAACCAGTATGAATATAAATATAAGTGACACTAAAAATAATATTGAGTGTAGCTTAAGTTACACAGATTTTCTAAAAAAAAGTCTGGAAATTGTACTGGCAGAATTTCGGCTTGATAGCTACCAATTCGTGGGCTCCTCGGAACCTCAGGTCTTCATTAAAAACTTACAAACTAAGGGAAATCTAGAGAGAAACGAGAGAGAGAGAGAGAGAGAGAGAGAGAGAGAGAGATAGAGAGACCTGAAATGTTGTGGGGAACAAATGAGGTTTACTGATCTATTTATACTCAAAATATCAAGGAAGCGTCGCGCCCAGACCAGGTGTGGTTCGGGCCCTGGCTTTGGTTGTCCGCTATCCTAGTGACATGTATCGGGTAGGCAATGGAGCGATGTGACAGCTTCTAGAAGCTTGCGCGTCGTGCCTTTTTGCTTGTGGCGCATTCCAGGAGACTTTAATAATTTATATATTCTTCATACCAACTCCATTTTAAACATTGTTTATATCCATGCATAGCTATCGAAGAGATCTAAAACTTTCGTTTAGACTTCATTATCTAATTCTCACTTTATTTTTAAATTTATATTTTTCACAATATTAGACTATTAAAGTTCGTATCAAAATCATGACTCTCGCATATGACATCCGTTCTCAACTGTCTTTATATCGACAGATTCCTATTAACGAGATCTTTGACTGTCATTTAGATTGTTTCGGCTAATAATTAACTAATCTAAATTTCATTTACTGTGTTAACACAGTTGCACTGAAACTTCGAAAAATCATAACTTCCTCTTATGAAGTCAGATTTAGGAGTTTTCTATATGTACGCTCTTACTTTTATGATTAATATCAATTTCATTTAGATTACTTAGGGTAATATTTGATCTATATAAAATTTACTTTTTATGACGCGCGTAACCATTCGGTTCAATCGCAGAACTTCGAAGAAACATAACTTCTTTATAC